GTGTCACTTCTTTGATCGGGTTTCTGCATGAGTGACTCCTTCCTTGTCAACCAATTATTTATATTTATTCTTAATAATGATATTATGGTTTTATTATTTATTGTCAGGGCCGACAACACGGGGAGGGGGGAACAGGAAAGAATGTACCCCCCCCCCCCCCACACACACTTTTTTTTTAGATAATTATTTTTTTTTTTTTCTAAAGAAAAGATTTTTTAAAGAAGTTTTTTTTGAAGATATAGAGAAATTTTTTTCACAAATATATGGTTGTGCCTCTCCACTTCAAAACCCGTGTCGTCGGCCCTGATAGTATTATAGATATTCTTTTTATTATTAATTTTTAAATTATTTTTATTCTTATTTTTATCATTATTATTATTGTAATTATATGATTGTAAGTTGTTGTTGGCAATTTTCTATGGCCGGCAAATTTTACGATTAACAGTAAATTAATAATTGCTAAAAAATACGTACAAAAAATATATGCTTAAAAATATTTCGATGTTCAATATTTAATTTTTGTAAACAATTTTCTTATAAAAGTGTCTATATATAAAACTCCAAAATTCTTTTTTGCTTAAAACATATTTGAGTACCAATAGATTTTGCTTGTTTGAATTGGCGGATTTTCAATGTTATTATCATATTAACTTTTTTTTTTTTAACAATAATCATTATTATATATTTCAAAAACAAATAATATTTACATGTCTCCAGTTTGTATAAATGTCCACCACACATATTTACAATATTTAAAGAGAGTAACAATGTTTTTTTACGCAATCGCGTTTGAAAGTGAGTTAAAATATTTATTTTAAAAAAATTGTGGTTTATAATACAAAGTGCTGGCTATTAACCCATACATTTATAAAATATATGCAAGTCCGTAGCACCACAGGGCTACTAGGGGCTTGCTTGTGGTTGTCGTTGAAAATATATATTAATATATTATGATAATACAATGTAGTTATAAAGAAACTTGCAGAAGACTAAGAGAAGTCTTCCATCGAGAACCTTTAAAATACAAAATATAACTTTAAAAGGAAATTTATAAAACACACATTAACTTTTTGAGGTTTATTGTTCATAATATTTTTCTAATTATAGTTGCTAACTATATTTATTATTATAGTTAATAATTTTATTGTTATAATTATTATATTATTATGATCAGTCGTTATTATAAGTTCGTGATTTCTATTTTATCAAATTTTTTAATTTTAGTAAGTTTAACAATAGTTAGGAAAATATTAAAATTTATCTAACATGATTTTAATTAGAAATATTATTTAGCGCAGAGAAACTTTATATAACTTTTACTATCATAAAATATAGAGAAAATGGATGAAAGAAAAAAGTTGTTCGATTTTCTGTTTCATCTGGAACGGCTAAAGAAGAAAGAAAGACGTGATATAAACCAAACTAAACTAAATACTTTTTTAAGTTCAGAAACATCTTATAGCTCCAACCATGGTTTTGAGATAAACACTTTGCCTTATAAAATCAATTCAAACGAAATCAGTGAACATAAAGTTGAGATGGAAGGTGATGACTTGAGCCAAAATCATTATGTTAGCAAAGTTTCCAAAATCATTTTAATAGCATCGCAAATCATTTATAGATCATGTGAAAAATTGTATGAAGAAAACAATGGAAAGTTTCAAAAAATAGTTAAATTTATGGCAGAATTTATTCCAATTCTGGAATATCATGTTTCCAAAGTAAAATTCAAATAAAACGCATTTTCTTAAACAAAAGAAATTATTCAGTTATTGGCTCGTACTTCTAGAAAGGGAATCCTTGAAAAATCCGGAAAGCCAAATATTACCTCATTCCCGCGGATTACAAACTTTGATCATGCGTAGAAAAACATAACAATTCAGTGGTGGCCGACATCCAAGAGAGTTTCTTAAGCTTTATTATTACTAATAATAAAGCTTAAATTACACAGGTTTGTAAATTTTTAAACTTTTCCTGATTTTTTTCATACAATTTGTCTTATAAATTAAAAAATTTATTTAAACAAAATTTAGTTTTTTAAGTCATGGATTGGAGCAAAACATTTTTTCTTCATTGAATGAAAATAAACTTCCACTTAAAGATATGAAAAGTCAGGCATACGGCAATGGTGCGAATATGAGAAGCAAAAACAGATGCTTTTAGGTAGAAATAAGCGAGCACTTATTTTCTCTTGTACAACACGTTCACATTTTTATTGTCAATTCTGTAAAAGTTAAATTGGAATTTGTGACATTTTTTGGACTTTAGAGCCTTTATAACTTTTTTTGCTAGTTCCAAAAAATGTTGGAGTATTTAGAGTAAAAGTGCCCATCACTAACAATTAAATTTTTAAATGATACAAGATAGGAGAATCACATCAAAGCTGTGAAGGTAACTAAGGAAAATACGCAACAAATTCATGAAGCGTGAAGGTGCAAAAAGTAATAGTAAAAGAACCACCAAAAAATCAGATGAATTTATCGCTGCTAAAATAGATAATACAGCTTGTATATTCATAATTAAATTTCACATTGGTCTCACAAAACTTCACACTAGTCTCACAAAGTTCATAAATAAAGTTCTCAAAATCATTAAAATCGTTCAATGATTCAATTCAAAATCATTAAAATAGTTTAATGATTAAGTTCAAAATTTGTAACATCCGTGCGTGACTTCCGTGCGTGATCATTCATAAACTGCATTTAAACGATTGCTGTGATTCTATGATTCGTAGTGCAATCCTGTAATTTTCTGGAAATCTTTACTAATGTTTAAAATATTATTTAAAAAAAAAAGTATACCGGTGAAACTTATATTGTCCGAGGAATTAAAGTTTATTTATCTAGTAACTAAAATAGAAGTTTTTCTGTTCCGTGCGTGATTCCATTTCAAACTTTATTTATTCTTTGTTAACATTACTAATGCTTACTATTTTTTGTTTACAAAATATTTATATTAATTAGAATTAAATGAGAGTAAATTGGAGATCGCTAGTTTTATTTTTATGAAAATAAAAGTAAAAACATATACGAGTTTCCGTGCGTGATTTTTTGGAAATGCCCATCTAATAGATGCAGAAGGTTTGCGAAGTTGTTTAAAAGATAGATACTGTTCATCCGTTAAGTTTTTGTCTAGGAGGCTTTCTAAAGACAGTAACTGGGTGCATTTAACATCTGCTTAAGATGAGTATTTTTATTAAGACAGCATCTCTAGCCTTTATTTAACCAAGAGCAACAAGTCAGGGTAAGTGTTAAGTCAGAGTTAACATCTCCTAGCTTTTGCATAAAAAAGTGCCTCCTATAAGGCAACAGGACATGAAATAGGTTGTACTGTGATACTTGTTACTAGTGTCAGGAAAACCTGACTTGACATCAGTAATAAAAATAACATATCGCCTGTAAGGTAGACCTGTACACCTGAAAGAGCAAAGGAGGCACAGCAAATTATTACTATCACAGAAACTGTTACAATCTTCGCAGAAAATTGCTAAGAAAAAAAAAAAAGAAAAATTTTAAAGTTTTTTTTTTTCCTTAACATTGAGGGGAGAAGATTGATTTTGTTATACATGTTTCTATATTCGGAAATTGTAAAACATTGAATGATAAAAATACAATCAGAAGATTTTTAGTAAAAATCAAAATTTTTGAGTTTAACAATAGTTATTTACTCGTTGCAATTTTGTAAAATTTCTTTAATAAAATTTTGTCTACTAACTTAACTAAAAAAAACATGAAATCTCCTCAGTCTTTATAGGTTTCCTAACTTTCGTCCACTGTGGACACTGTGCAGTTAAAGAATTATATCCTATACTCACCGAATCTGCGTTTGAATAAAACATTTCTTGTTAGTGTGTGTTTAATCTTATTACTTCTAAGTTTTACTTTATTTAAAAAGCTCAAAGTTTTCTTTTTAATTAGCACAACCCCCATCAGAAATTGAGGACCTTTTTTTTTAAAAGGCGCAAATATGTTGCAAAATACAAAAATACATCAACATTACACCTCCCCTCATACCAAAAAATTCCAGGTTCCGTCACTGTCAATAGAGACAAGACTTTTAATAGTGACAAGACTTTTAGATGTGTATATTGAAGTAATTTTTACATCCAAAAACCATATTGCTAACTGGTTCAATAAAGAGTGTAGGCATTTTATATAAAACAGGAAGCGTAATAAAGAAAACATACTCTGATTCAATTATATTATTTTTAGTTCATTTTCATATCAGCTATGCAAATATTGCTTCTACCCAAAGCAACATACAAGTAAAATTACTAAAACCAAAGCATTTTTAACGGCTTATTAATTTTCAGGACCGTTTTGCTTATATCAAACTTCTGTCTTTCGAAATGAATCAGTTTTATGCAACAACATTATTTAAAATAACATTAAATATATCTCCCAAGGTTAATTAAATTCTTTTAAACAAAGTTAAAAAAGAAAAATTTTTTTAACTAAAAATAATTTTTTCTAACTTAAAAAATTGTTAATCAATACTTTATTTTGTACTTGCTTTTACAATGTAAAATTTTTTTTTACTACGAACGATTACTTAACACGTTCGATTTTAGCGTGTCTCGGTGAAAAGACCGATTTTTTTCGAGTTTTTGTGTTCTTTATAATTTTTTCGCCTAATATTCTTTTTAATTTGATGTATTTGATCAAGGACCACCTTCGTCCTTGATTTGATCAATTGATTACGATGGTCGTACAGACAAAATTGAAGCATATAATTGCATCGCACTTGTATTTTTACTTGGTTTAAAAGTTCGGTATAAGTCTTTTTTAAGGCCTCCTGTTCTGTATAACTATTTCAAACACGTTGATATACATTACAAAACAGTACATCTGGCCCCAATTTATTTAACCTCTTTAAACTTTGAAAGTATGCAAGTTGTTATGGAAACCTAAGGTGGTTTTAAGTTATGCTTTAAAAAATGCCGCCTATTTATATTTTCGTATTACGTTGTTTATATTTTCACACAAATGCATTATAATAATATAATTGTTTAGATATCAATTTTTTATAATTTTCTAACAGATTTTAATACCGACAAATATTAATTTTACAAAGCCAACTTGTGCAATCAAAGATGGCTTTTCGGTCAAAATATACCGTATTGCTTCCAACTTATAATGAGAAGGACAACTTGCCACTTATAATTTGGTTACTTGTAAAAACATTTTCAGAAAAGTATGTTCATTTTTATGTGTGTGTGCATTATAGTTTTTATTTTATTGTATTTGCACATATTTATCATAATTATTGTTTATTTATAAAAATTTTAAGAATGCATTAAGAGGTTTGATGTCTTCAAAAATTAAAGCGATTTAAAATATTTTGCTATCAAAACTTTTAAACATTGTACACCTACATTAAACAATATTAATGATAGTAGTTACAATAACAACAGCAAAAAGAAAAACAAATAAATTACACATTGATTTAAAAAAATAAACATTTTATTGTACTAAGTTTTAGTTCTTGTTTGGAGATTTTATACTTTTATGTTTCATATGTTCCAACATTCTCGCATGTTTCCCAATTATTTAAAGTTAAATGCTAAAAACTTCTTTGTTATTTTTTTTTTTAGTAATATAGACTACGAAATTATCATAGTTGATGATGGAAGTCCAGATGGAACTCAAAATGTTGCAAAACAATTAATAAGCATTTATGGGGAAAATAGAATTGTAAGTATTTTTCAATAATTATATTAATATTTAGTCCAATGCTTTTTTTTTAATCTGCAAATAGATTATTTATATTTGATATATAATCTATTTGTGCTCTACTAATACAATTAACAAAATGATAGTATATATTTTATATATATATATATATATATATATATATATATATATATATATATATATATATATATATATATATATATACTGCAATTCTATACATAAATATTATATAATACAAATGTATATTATTATCTACCACATATTTTTTAAACTATAAAGACTTTTTTCTAATGTATAACAACTAGATGACAACTAACTATGTATTTTTTACAATCAACTATTAAGTACGTTACATAAATACTTTTAACTAATTATGTTACAACTACGTTATAGAAATTGATGACTACGTTACATAAATTGATGACTACGTTACATAAATACTTTTAACTGATTAAAAACTAAAATTTTATATATCATTAAATAGACCTTTAGTGCAGTATTTTAAAGGTAAAAAAGTTGACAAAATCAAAACTTGGTATCAAAAACATTTATCAAATTAACAAGTAATATAATTAAACATAAATTATTCTTACTAATTGTCTTTTCGGATTTTTTTTTAACTTCCAAAAGGCTGCAAACAACCACTATTAAGTTACTGTATGAGAAAATATGAAGTTTATGAAGCAAGATAACGATTAACAGATGATTTAAAAGATTGAAAATTATATGAATTAGGAAAACAAGGGAATGAATTCCAAAGGACTGATGTTTGAGGGAAAAAACCAGACAAATATAAATTTTTTGAGCAACAAAGAACTGTCACAGTAAAAGGACAAGACTTAATTGAATGATGAGAACAAGGTGCTAGCTCTTTAGAGCAGTGCCCATTATAGTATTTATATAAAAAAAAGAAATAGAAGCAACATTATGAAAATGTGACAATGGTTGAAGGTTGGATGCTAGAGCATTTCCAATTATGTTTACAATGCATTTTTGTACCTCAAAAAAGAAAGGGCATCATAGAAAGATTCCTTCCAGATATGGCAACAGTATTCCATACAAGGATGGATTTGAGATTTATAGAGATAATGAATAGAACCCAAAAATTATGCTTTAACAGATTTGATATATGGTTTCCAAGAAAGGGTAGATGACTCATCCAGTACATTACTGTTCATTAATATAGAAAGATCTAGATTGTTGCAATAATGATTAGCTGAAAAAAATTGAGTTTTTTAAATTGAGTTAAAGTTCACCACCCACTGAAACCTCCATGCTGTAGCAGAAGTGAGATCCTTTTCAAGCTCAAATACCCACTCTAAACCATCAGAAAGTGTTGGTTTCTTATCAAGACAAAAATAAATGGTAGTATTGTCAGCAAACAATGCCGCCTTGTATGTGAGAATTTAAGGGTGATCACCATACAAAGGCAGCTTATGGAGAAGACTAGGATGCTAAACTTTATCAAAGGCTTTAGAAATATTGAGAGCAATAGCTTCAACCTCAACCACATCTATATAATGCATGCTAAAACCTATCATTTATTATTATTAACAAATCAGCAGTAGAATGAGAAGATCAAAAACTAAATTGGCAGTAGTGGACTGGCCCCAGGGAGCACCGGGAAAATTCCTGGTGGACCGGTATAAATTTGAGCCGGTGGACTGGCCTAAATCAGGTCAGTCAAAAATTACAAAATGAGTGGAAGCAAGAAAACAAATGTAGGTGCTGAGTAATTACGTGATGAAAAAAAAAAAACTGATTCAAAAACTGATTCTGAATATTTTCTCAGGTTTTATGAATTTTTAACCCGTTTCTATATTTCTTTTTCTTTGATGTGGGCCAGACAAATATAAAATTTTCATTTTGATTTCAAGTCTCAGTCTACCCCTGCTTATTGGTGATCAGAAAGTAAGTTAATAGATTCAAGATGAAAGATTAGGTGTTTGTTAATTGAAGGCTCAAAAACTTTGCTTATGATATGACTTGTATAAGGGTCAATCCAAGTCAAATCAGCAAGTTATGCTGTGACATATTTTGGATTTTGATCAATTTTATGTTTAAAAGTTTAAAAATTGGAAAATTTCGAAGTTGGAACATCCAATTTTTTACAGTGCTTGATATAATGAGGTTTCAATTTTCTTATTTATACTAACGCAGCATTTTTTACAAAATGCTATTTTTTTATTTTTTATTAAATAGCAATATTTTTACAAAATGCTATTTTTTGTTTTTTTATTAAATAGCAATATATAATGAACAGAATGAGTATTGGCCTGAAATTTGTTACATACATTTTTGATGTCAGTTTTAAATTTATATATTAATTTGTTTGATAATTAAATTAAACATAAAATTCATAAGGAAAAAGTTTATATCAATTTTATGCGAAAAAGAATTTATCAAATTCCCTTAAACAGGCCTGATTTAGAAATTAATTGTATGTTGGTACTTAAAATTCTAACCTGATATTCAAATTCTAACCTGATATTCAAATTCTAACCTGATATTAAATTTTAACCTGATATTCAAATTCTAATTAGATAAATTTTGAGGAAAAAAATTTAACTGACCTGATTTTTGACCGACCTGATTTTTGATTGGCCTGATTTAGGCCGAGATAATAGCTTGTTTGAGCATTAACCATAATAGTATTTGTAGAAAAAAGAAAGAAATCAACAATAGGAGAGTGGCTGAAGCTTGGTAGAATTTAAAATAAACTGCTTGCTCTTAGCAAAAAGTGAAGACTTTCTATCAAGACAAGAGTGTAAAGTTGAGTCGTCAGCATATAGAGCCACTTTAGATGTAAAATTTTTTTTATATTGTTAATAAAATATAACTTAAATAAAAATAACAATATATAACATCCTTTATATGCAAACCATCTTTATATATTCAATATATATATTCGCCACATATATATAAAAACACTGTTACTGTTCATCCACAAATGACAAAGTTTTATGGCTTCACATCCCTGAAATGTATTGGCTTTTGCCCCTTTGTCAACTGTGTACTTTTTTGATTCTGGGTATGTTCTTTTTCAGTTACGTAGTTTGGACATATCAGATTTATCATTATTGATAGGATTGAGTTTCTCATTATCAGAGATGCAGAATCCCAAAATGACTTCATCTTTATATCCCTATTTTTTTCAGGTCTGTAGTGCCAGAAGCTCTAAACATGTTTGTTGACTTAAAATCTGCCATAAGAAAAAAATTCCTGAGATTTAATGACTTGAAACTTATTGTTTTTAAGTCCGAAGTCCTAGAGTCCTTTATGGTATAATGGTGGCATGGCCGGAGTCCCTGCCACCATGATACCTAAAGACTATGCGTTCAAAAAATGATTGTTCTTCTTACCTAAAAGTATTAATTTTTTTCCCTATTTTAAGTCCATAAACTTTTTTATACCTGAAGAGTTATTGCTCTTTTTTTTTTTTATGTACCTGAAGAGTTATTGCTCAATATGATTGCAGTGTTTTGCCTCGCCTGAAAAATAAATGGCTGCATCATTTATCTCTCAGGCTGGACAAAACACTGCAATCATATTGAACAATAACTCTTCAGGTACGTTAGCACACAGTGACTTAATAAACAAATGCCTAACTTACCCTAGTATTGTTCAGGTTTTGAATCTGGTTTTTGGCAATGCCATGAGGTATTGCTTTCAAAGCTCATAGTGAGTAGAGATCTTAACTGTCATCCCATCATCTTGGAAGAACTTATTAATCTTCCTCCATGAGGTATTGTTCTGTAACTTAAAAGTATTCTACTTAAATATCCATATAATAAACCTTTTTCTGGTGAATAAGCTTTTAAATCCATCTTGACTGTCTCTATCATTCTTTCAGCTGCTCCATTAGATTGAGGATGGTAAGGTGGGGTCTTATAAGGTTAGCAACCTATTTTCTTCAGCGACTGGTTTAAAGTGGTGGCATGAAATTCTGCAGCATTATCTGATACCAAAACCTCTGGAACTTTATTTCTCGAAAAAACACTTTATATCATTATGGACTTATTTAAGCTCTTCAGCATCTTTACCACTGACACAAATGCCATCTTGAAGTATAATCTTATTAGGAATAATATCACCAACAACAGATTCTATTGCTCTTTGAAATATTGTACTTGCAGTTTTTATTCCAAAAGGTAAACATGTCCGTCTTAACAATTGATACCTATAGGGCGATAGGAGTATTAACTGTTCGTCAGCCGAGAGCAGTTAATACTCCTATCGCCATATGTATCTCCATTTTTTGTAATTCGGAGTAATTCAATTTTCAAATTTTAGGGCACAAATACTGACAGTTGATCTTTTTGTAAAATATTTATATTTTTAAGTCTAATAGTAAATTAAGTCTCATTATTATTAAAAGTATTTGTTTGAAATTTGTTTGAAAGGATGGTTTCAATCTAAAAGCGTTGCAAACTGAACCTAGTTGTGGACATGCAGCCTGCTGGTTTTAATTTCTTTAAACTTTAATAAACAGCATTTTTCCGAAAGCAGTTTATATGATTACTTTCAGATGATTAATACAAGAGGTTGGGGGTGTAGGAGTTTTAGTCCAGATTTAATAAACAGGAAGGAGTGTGTGTGTGTGTGTGTGTGTGTGTGTCTTAATAAAAATGTGGATGCAAATTTTTTACATAAATCGAATATAATTCGATTTAGGTAAAAAAAATTAGAAAAACAATATAATTCTATTGTGACTTGCCTTCAAACAGCTATTTTATTATAATTCAATAGAATTTAGTACACTTACATAAGTTTCATACAATGGTGGAAAACAAAGATAAACCTAAATTAGACAAATCAAAATTTTCCACATTTTTTAAAGGTTGATGATTTTGTTTACACTCAAAGTTTTTATTCTTATCAGGACTAATATATATTTTTTAATAAACACCCCTTCCGTGTTTTAAGCACTTAAGAGGAAATAATTTTTTAAAATAAGAACTTTTTTTTTTTTTTAATTTTTATTTGCATTTACTCCCAAC